AGTTGCGAACAGTTCAGGATCCTCGGGCTGTGCTGGTCAAGCAGTTTAACTCGCTGTCACAGGCGTGCTTTAAACCGTATGCTCCGAAGTTCGAATCCAGCCACCGCCACTCAATTTTGGTGCTAATCAGCTTCGCTGTCATTCAGTTCAGTACCACAGGGCTTAAGTTCCCGATTCGGGTTATGGGAACCAGCAATCTTACCAAGATATTTTAAGAATCCAATAAGAACGGTGTGATACTAAGTCAGACGACAGTGAAGCTGTGATCAATATACTTACACGTGAATTCTTTGATCGGATCGAGGTAGCAGCTCCTCTCACAAGACTCCTATAATGACCTACAGCGTATTTGCGCTGAGCGTATACTGTTTGACAAAATTTCTTTTATCGTTACTTTCGTTTCGCTACACGACACCGAAATCACTAACTTAGTTAACACAATGGGTTATGGTACAGCTTGAATTGCTTTAAACACAGCTTTACTCAATAACCTGTGACCAATCCGCCCGCATATTGTCTATCGTTCTGAATAACTCAACGAAATACCCCTGAAACAAATGCCGACATCTGCTTCGTAAACTTTGCATCCCATATTGGTTTGAATACTTTTCTTGGTGTTGATTTCGACTGATTACGCTTCTGACTTCCCCATGCAGTCCTTCGGTTAACGATATAAACGGAAATTACCAGATTTAAGTTTCACTCTCATTAGAGCTGATCAGCGGTGAACACTCACTTTATCAATCACAGTTCAAAACCCAACAGCTCACACGGAGACTGAACGGAATAAACTATCCCTTCACCTAGTTTCCTCTAACGGTGATGACGTTTGTCCGAGTATGGGGAAAAAAGAAAACTGGAGTAACTGAATAGTCTGTTAATCAACTTCTAGTACAAACGGACCGCCTGTGCGGCTGATATGACAATGTCCTTCGAACCGGACGGGATAGGAAAAACAAGGGAACGATGGTCAAATGTTTGTGGGTGAGTGTGGTGAGAGGGGATTGGATATGGATGGGAAGAGCTTAACTGTGTGTGTTGAGACAAGAATATAGCGCGAGTTGATGCACTGTGAACAACAGAAGTCATTCTCACATGTACCACTTTACGTGTGTTTCACACTCGGAAGTTATCGACGTATCCAACAGTTCACGGACAAAGTCAAGATCTTTGCCCTGCAGCGAATGAAGATGTATCTTTGTGCTGATGAATTTCATGAATATGTACTCTGTACTTGACGAAGTCTCTCAATGAGTTTATGACAGACGGTAATCCGAATACAGACGTTGAGGAACACGCAAGAAAGATAAAAACACATGTATGAATGTGAATGAATGAAATAGTTCAATGAACAAAGACTAAGTTACATAGACTGAAACTGAATGGAAGTGTTCGACACAAGACAGGTGGTCATCACTGCTAGTTGTGATTGTATCTGTGTTTGAGGGAATTAAAAAGGACAAAAGAAATAAAATAGCCAAAAAGGAACAGACAAACAATAGGATGAAGTGTTGGGACTAGTAAAAAACGAGAGAAAAAGGCCAGTACAAGAACACAGCCTGTGAACGGACGCCAGTGCCCAAACCAAACAGTCATGATATGTGATTGTGTTCATGGTGAGCAATCAGAAAATCCCGGTTACCGAGCTCTGATCTCGTCGGTCACAATCGGAGGGCTTAAACACCTTCGGAGGGTTGGGGGGGGGAGGTTGAAACGAGAAATGAGGGCCAAAATCAGAATGAGATCAAGAAAGAGCTGGACGAGCAAAAGGGAGAAGTATCTGTATAATTGAAGTGATGGATACATGCGAGATAAAAAGCAGTGTTGTGTATGAAGCACACAGCGCAAATAGGATGCGTTACATCATAAACCGAGTGGGGGTGGGGTGGAGATTGGTGCGAAAAGATGACGACAAACGCCATTGTTCGAGTTACCACTACCACCCCCTCACACACACAATGAGGGGGGGGGGAGGCAGTAAGTTGCGCGCTTCTGATGAGCACGAATCACGAGAGGAGAGTGAGACGGATAAATTGAGGGAGGCTGAATGATGTTTGTGATATTGATGATAATGAGGGTGGGAGAAAAAGGGGATGAGGATGGGGTTACAATTTGGATGATTGCGTTCAAAAAGATGTGCACGAAGTTGTACAAAGTTCACTAGTATTCAAACAAATAGTAACGGTAGGAAAAGAAACAAACGACCAAACAGACAAATTGGTCATCTAAAAAAGAACAAAAATGTCCATGTCTGCAAAACTATGGGTTACAGTAAATTAGTAATGAAAGATATGTGTATTTTTAGGATATGTGTAGGTGTGCAAATTTGAGAATATATGTATATATATATGTATATATGGATGCCAGTTTGCGGATAAGAAATCGGCATAGTATTGGGCGATTCAGTTGGCCAAGAGCAGCTGACGTATGGGAGACGGTGGAGCAAAAAGTCAAACGGACTGGTGGAAATTTCCACAACTCTTCATAAAAACAATTAAAAATTCCTCATACAAATTGAGTGGGTGTGATATGTGTGTATGTATGCGTATATGCCTTGATAAACGAGAATGCTTCACAGCCAAGATTAAACAGTCTATTTGAATGCTTGGGAGATGGGTATATGACAGAGAAGTGCACAGCGTGTGTGTGTGTATATATATATAAATAAAAGAGAGAAAAACAAAGTAACAGTAAATGTAGTTGTACCTAGTGTAGATACGGTAATCTTCCTTGGCATACGGAATGCGTGCATAATAAGCAGCCGGATGCATCACATACACGGGCGGATTGACACACATCTCCGTCTGTCCGTTGGATGGCACTTGGATCATCAAACGTGACTTGACTTGTTCTGTAGTCGATCATTGTTCGCTGTCAGATTGAGGCACTTTCATTGTAATCGTCTGCATTCACATCAGCATCGTCACAGCCAACAAGTGCACACGAAGAGAAGCAGCAGCAGAAACAACGATAGGGAGCCCGATTGATTCATGTTAAATCAAAGGATCGCGAATTTCACAAAGCACCTGAATCGGTAATGCACGAAACATTGAACAGTCAGAGACGTCTGCAAGAAGAGATTAGATCGGATTGACTACGAAATAAATCACGATCGATTTGTGCATGTGGTTGGGCTAAGAAAGCAAAACCATAGTTCGAGGTCAGTCAGTGGTTTGGTCAATGGGGGTTTTCTGAATGCAATGGAAGGATGGTGAAAACCAGAGAGAGAGAGAAAAGAAAGTGAGAGAAAGAGAGAGATCCGTCGGAGTGTCATGTTCGAAACCGGGATAGTCAAACATGGAGTGGAAAAGAAAACATTCACAGGAAGCATGAATATCCCGCCAGGGGATTAAATGCGTGTTGAAATACTAGGGGGTGAAAATTGCACCCTCGGATTTCTGAATACCAGATCGTGTGTTGTCGAACAGAGATCATCATCATCATCATCATCATCAACAACAAAAAAAAACAAAACAACAACAACAACACTAACGGTCTAGAATACAGTCGGTAGTAGTGAGTGAGTTGTGAGTGTGTTTCGGTGTGTGATTGCACTCACTTTGTGCCATGCTTGTACGGCAACATGGAAGCACGAATGCATACTAAAAAAATGGACCGGAATAATCCCACAAAATGTCCGTGTTCCTTGAATGGACTCGTTAGAAGTGCAATTGAATAGATGTTGGGAACCCAAAGAAAACCAAAACAATACAAACCGAAAACCAGTTGAATAGTGGACCGTGCCTTTAGACTGTCATCAAATTGAGCGATTGGATTTCTCTACGGGCTCGTGCCGTGTTTTTTCATGTGCAGAGTAAGATGGTCACTTCGAGCGAAAGCCCTCGC